GTGTTACCTTATAGATTCCTATCTGTCAGAAATGGTAACGATAAAGGTTATCGTTTAATTGTCCTATAGGACATTAGGAAACATTCTTCCCCTACCACTCCCAAAATGCCAGTAAGTAACCAGTTTCTCAAAATGATCTTTGAACAAGTTTGACCTAATATATTTATGACAAGTATTTATTCTATATGTGTATAAGAATCATTTTAAATTTTTCAAAAATTGTTTTTTGACACTATGCTAATGATTCAGAAATTTATTGAATTCCATAATTATGATAATTAAAAATAACATTATTACTCTGAATTTCAAAAACAGAGTATTTTCTGACTAATTCAGCAGCCAGTGATTAATACTTTTATAGCATCCTTTGTGGCCCTCATTGTGCATTTTATATGGAATGATGACTTTTTCTGTGTATAATCTCTCACCCTGTCCAGATTTTAGAATATCACTCTTGTTTGCATCCTTCAGGATGTAAAATGAGTAAGCATGAATAGATTCTCACTATTTATGTTGGCAATAAACTGAGTGAAATATGTAAAACATTAACGTGCATGAAGCAAAAATGTCCAGATTGGTATTTAGAGTGAGTTTTAGACAATTCTAACAAAATAGAACTGGAATTGGCTGTTAGGGAGTGAAAGAGAGAAATGGTAAGATTTACATGTTTCATACAGCTGCAAGCCTACATGTCTGTGTGACTAGTTTGAGGAAGTTAAGATTTCATGGATGACAACAGCAAAAAACTTACAAGGCCTATAGTGATGTAGCATATATTAATTAAAAGCCGGGTAAAAGAACAAAGAAAGTGGGAATTTTAATTAAGGCTGGAAAAAATTGGCTCAGAATGACAGATGCTGACAGATATAACCAGGATTCCAAATTAAAAACTGATCACAGTGAAGGTAAGAAATTTCCTAGGCTTGCTCTATGTACAGTCATGATAAGGAAAAACTTTTTTTAAAAAGCAGAATTAGGGGCTCCTGGGTGGCTTAGTCGGTTGAGCGTCGACTTTCGCTTAGGTCATGATCTCGCGGTTCGTGGGTTCGAGCCCCGCGTCGGGCTCTGTGCTGACTGCCAGCTCAGAGCCTGGAGCCTGTTTCAGTCTGTGACTCCCTCTCTCTCTGACCCTCCCCTGCTCATGCTGTCTCTCTCTCTCTCTCCTAGAAATAAATACAACATTTAAAAAAAATAAAATAAAAAGCAGAATTAACTACTTCTTTACTTTTAATATTATTATACTGCTATTAGAACATAAACATTCTAGTTAACCCTTTTTTCTCCCCATCCTCCTAGGCCCTATATCAGTATAAGCAGTATTATACATTAAAGATATATTATTAAATTACCAAGTTTTTTTGTAATCTTCAGATCAAAAATTTGTGGAGGTCCCACTTTTTCCTCAAAAATGGCTTAGAAGGATAGAGGTGAAAGGACAGAAGAACACTTGGTAATTGGCCAAATATTGGCAATAAAATTAATCATTCCTAACCAGTCCAAATCATCTCTGAAGTTCTATTTTTGGAATAAGCTGTATGCAGTGCTCAAATAGGAAACATTCACAGCACTAAGAAATCGAAGATGACATGCAACTCAAGGTATCAAGCATATTTAATTAAACAGCCTTCATGAAAAATTCAAGTAAACAATTGTTTTAGAGCTAGCAAACAATCTTGTATAGCTTTACTCATTTCATGTTTGCTTATTTCACAAAGACATGGTTTTTCTTCTGATTTGTTACAATGCCAAACTGCATGCTGGGAACACTCATAACAGTTTTGCAATTTAGCTAAATATTTGTACAGTTTTATTACAATGTTGATTTTTGTGAATTTGTTAAATTATCTCCCCTGCAGCATTTGCTTAGTTCCTCTTTTATTTCACAACTGTAGTCAACTCATTTTATCTATACTAATGCTTAAGAGAGAGAACGCTGATATCTTAAAACAAAAGAGGATCCAGGGGCGCCTAAGAGTATCATTTACTGTCATCCTGCTAAATTTCAACCTCAAACCTGCACAAAACATCCACCTTTACCCAGCCTTAATGCTCTTCTGGTTTTGCCTTACAGCACTCTGTAGGGGACATATCCAAGAAAATGGTGAAATGAAAGAGATAATTTGTGAACTTGGCTGAAAGGTATGAGGGTGATGCATATTGTGTGTATGAGTATGTATATGTTTTAATAGTACACTTGCCGAGAACATGATGAATCGGGATACAGATATCATATACATCATTTGGGATACAAATGAGTGTAATATTCTGTACTCTGGCTAGGGAGATAAAATACAAACAGGAAAAATTATCAAGCATTTGATTAAATCACTTGACTTGAATTCCACCAAGAATCCTCCAAAAACCTCTCTGCTGAAGTATCTGCATTGTTACCAAAGTTTTGTTATCAATGATCTCTCTTGCAAGCACATGCCCACAAAGTGTGAGTGAAGTTTTGCAAAAAGTTAAAAAGACCCGGTAGGTAAAACAACAATCTGTTGTTGCAATGTTTCGGTCACAGAATAAAGTATGTTCAGCATGTTCCAGAGTATGTCTCATCTAGCTAACTGCAATGACCTCTGGCTGCCCAGGTCCCTTTGATGTGAAGTGATGGCAATAGCCCATCTCCACCATCTCCACTGTCACCCTGGTGTTAGTCATTGTAGAATCCCTGTTGGTTATACTGTCCTCTGCTGGTGCAGCCCAACATTTCATGGTCATGCCTTCTCTTAGGCATCCAAGTCATCCGCTATCTTTGGGGGATTTACAGTAACAAACATCTCATGAACGTCAATATTTGCCAGGCCACTAAGCACCTTAGATATTTGCAAGAGAAGTTTTAGGAGTTTTAAAAATCTAACTGGTGTTCTCAGCAGCCAGTTTACACTGCAATTTTAGCATCTGGGTGCTAGATCTATGGGAATCTAGCCCTTGAACTAACTCCTTATTTTACAATTCAACCCCTACCCCAAACACTGGACTCAGTAGTGGGGTCAGTGTGACTCCAAATGCCACCTATCTCATACTCATTCTAAATCTTAGAATAATGGACAAGTAATAGAGAAAGTAAAAGCAAAAACTCTTTTGAAAAGAACAACAAAATTATATGTAATGTATATAATATATATGTATATATAAATATACAATTCTATTCATAGTGATCTAAAGAAAAAAAAAGAATATAAAAATTACCCACATCAGGAACAAAAAAGGGGATATCAACCTATACATCCTACAGATGTAGAAGGTGATAAGGAAATATGAACAACTTTATGCCGATACATGTAATAAATTGTCATAAAATATCAATACTAATCTGAAAAAAATTAGAAAATATGATTGCTCTTATCCCTTTTAAGTATTAAAAAAACCCTCTAGGCTCAGAATGGTAAAATTAATAAACACTTAGAAATGAGATAATCCCAATTCTAGACATCTCGTTCAGAAAACAGAGAAGGAAGAAACTCTTGTCAGCTCACTTTATGAGGCTAGCATTACCCTCCTCCCAAAATCAGATGAAAACATTACAAGAAAGGGAAACTACAGATCAGTATTCTTCATGAACACAGTCACAAAGATCCTTACCAAAATATTAAGATCCCTTTTGGTTAGATGATTTTATTTAACTATGTTTGGTTAATGTTATGGGTAGAATCTGTATGTATCACTGCTCTGTTGAAACATTTATTGCTGATATAAAACTCTCCAAAACTATTTCTTTCCCTCAGCTACACTTCAGAGGCATTTTTTGAGATAGTAGCTATTCCCTGGAATGAATCTGCAGCTGAAGCAGGACTTCCAGTTGACCTGCAAAGGACTCACTGTGTGAGAAAAACAAAAACAAAAACAAAAACAAAAACAAAAACAAAAACCATCCCAATCAACCAAACAAAAACAGCTTTACTGTGTACAGCCACTGAGATTCTGGAGATAGTAGCTATTCTCTGTTCATGCAGGAAAACCTTTACTCTCCTGACTGATATGCTATGAGATGTGCATGTATGTTCATCATAGACATCAATTTTGTAATACCTATATTAATGTTATTGTGATATGTTATCATGGGATTAATAAATTTTAAATAAATCCTACAAACTTGATAAAACATGAGATCATTCTAGATCAGGACCCCCAGAAGATATGGTGAAAAAGCTTAGAAGTGAACAAAAGTGATGAGTTTGGGTTTTTAGCTGATTCTAGAAGATTATACAATCCTGTCACCTCGTCTTGTTCTTCCTGACTGCCCTGTGTAACCACTGCCCAAAGATCCAATTTTGTTTATTATTCTCACTCTCATTACTGCCTTGATTATTTGTCTGTCCCTTGCACTAATATCATACTGCTTTAATTTTTACAGTTTTGTAGTAGGTCTTAAAATCTAGTGCCACATGCACTACATGGGTTTTTTACAAAGTTGTCTCGAGTATTCTACATCTTTGTAGTTTCCTATCCATTGTTTTCTTATTGCAATGTAGTCATCATACAGTATTACATTAGGTTCAGGGACACAACACAGTGATTTAACATTTATACACATGACGAAGTGATCACCATGATAAATCTAGCCACCATCTGTCACCACATAAAGTTGTTACGTATTATTAATTACATTCTCTGTGCTGTATCCCCATGTCATATATATTTTTAAATCAATCTTTCAATTTCCTCCGGACATAACCTTCTGAGATTTGAACTGGAATTGTATCACATATATCAATAGTTTTGCTAATAACTAAGATCTTGAAAATATTGTCTATGGGTATTTATTAAGGCATTTTAAATTTTTATTTGAGAAGTACTGATGGAGCTATAGAGAGCTTATTTATTTATTATTATTATTTTTTAAATGTGTTTGTATGGGTAAGGCTTCCTGAAGGAGAGAAAACTGAAACCTGGGGCAAAACACAAGCCTTGGAAATTACATAATAACCAAGTAGTGAGAATTGAAAAGATTTACTTTCACACAGGTCTGAGTTTTCATTTCAAGGGGATGAGTCCTGAAGCCCTGGAGATAAAAACCGTGGAGGTAAACTCAAAGGTGCCTTTCTTATCTTCCTCTAATGACATTCATTCCTGTTCTGAAAGGTAAGAGTCCAGTTTCATTCCTTTCTCTTCTCAAGGAATGTTTACCTTAAAGAGCAAAGTTTTCTCTCCTTTTCTCTGAAGGGAAAGTCAGGCCACTCTCCTTCTATTTAAAGTTCCTGTTCATATTTTTATGGTTCCTAGGCCACAGTATAGACCTCAGTCCAGTACTGTAAGGTGACATCCAGTCTGACTCTTTTCATATCTTCTTAGAAAAGAATTGGGACAGAGGAGAATTAATATGTTTATCGCTATGAGTATGTATCTGTCCTGCCCTAGAAGACTCACTTTAGCTTCCAGACAATACAAGTAAATATAGATACTATGAACTTAACAGTATTTTATACTTTTTAGTGAAAAAGCTTTTCACGTCTTCAAAATATTATATCTGAGAATTTAATGTTTTTCAAATTCTAATATAAATGGTATCTGTAAATTTCTTGTTCCAATAATTTGTTGCGAGTATAAAGAAATTCAATTGATTTTTTTGGGTATATTTACCCTGTATCAATCTTGCTAAATTCACTTATTAATTTATTGGATTTTTTGTAGATTATGTGGGGGCTTTCTACATATAAAATAATATAACTCAGTGTCTTTTCTTTCCCTTCTTTTTCTTTTCCTTGTTTTTCTTTTGATTTTGTGGCTTTTGTTCTTTCTTTTTCTTTCTTTTTTTCTTTCTTTCTTTCATGATTATATTAGTAGCAGTAGTAGCAGTAGTAGTAGTAGTAGTAGTAGTAGTAGTAGTAGTATTTTGTTTTGTTGTATAGACAAAGGCCTCCAATACAATAGTGGATAGAATTCTCTTTATATATAATTTGTCTTGTTCTGGATTATAGAAAGAAAGTATTCAATATATCCCCATTAAATACGATGATAGAAATAGATCTTACTAGGTACCCTTTTTCAGATTAAGGACATTCTATTCCTAGCTTCCTTAGAAGAATAGATTGTCATAACATGAACAGAATTTTAATCTTTGTTTAAATGCTGTTTTTCCCATTTATTGAAATTTGTTTTATTAATGTGGCCAATTAACATTGTTTCTTTTTCAAATATTAAACTAATCCTGCATTGCTGAAATAAGAATCAATTGTTTCTGATGTAAAACAATAGCATGATATGATATGTATAACGGTTGTGTATAACATATTCATATTCATTGTTAGATTTATTTGGTAATATTTTGTTGAGGATTTTAAACTTTGTATTCATGAGAGATGTTGCCTGTAATATTTTCTTCTAATGTCCTTGCAAGAATTTGGTAGTTTGGTATCAGGGTTATGGTAGTCATGGAACTGGCTGGGGAGACTTTCATTTTTCTCTATTATGTCAAAGAGTTTGCATTAAATTCACATTATTTCTTCCTTAAATGTTTGAAAATATTTGGAAGTCATTCTTGCCTGGAGTTTTCATTGTAGGATGGTTTCAGTTACAATAATAAGAAAAAGACTATTCAGATTTTCAATTTTATTGTTATATTTTTCAGGAAATTGTTTTTATTTTAACCCTCTTGTTAAATTTACAATATTCTCTGATTTTTTTTTAATACATATAGTATAGAGTATCTTCCTTCCTTTTAGTAGTGATATCTGCTTTCCATTCTGGATAATGTAATTTGTGTTTTCTCTCTCTCTTTTTTTTTTTATAATTTCTGGATCAATGTTCCAAGGTATTATCAGTTTTTAAAATATTTTCAAATAAGTAACTTAAGGTTCTATTGATTATTGTGTGTCTGTTTTTTATTTATCTTATATTCTTACTTTTATTATTTCCTTCTTTTTATGTTTTTTAGGTTGAATTTATTTTTCCTTTTCCATCTTCTTGAGATAAAAGCTTCATTTCTACATTTTTCATTTTTTCTAATACATGAATTTAAAGCAAGCAATTTCTCTCTATGCACTTAACTCTATTCCTCAAATTTAGTCATATATTTACATTATGTTCAGTTCAAATGCTTTATAATTTTCATTGTGGTTTTTTTCTTACCTATGTTGAGAATGGCGTTAATACATTTGGAGGATTTTCTGCTTCTGTTTCTGCTTTAGGTTTTCAATTTATTATTCCACTATTCAGTCTTTTGTAATTTTTAGAGACACGCTTTCACAGTACAGGATGTAGTGTTTTTTGACAAAGATTCTTGTGTACTTAAAAAAAAAATTTATTCAGCAACTGTGCTATGACACAATCCAAACATGTTATTTAGATCATGTTGCTTAATAGTTTTATCTACTTCTTTTCTATCCTTGCTGATGTTTTTGGCTTGCTTGTTTTAATAGTTGCTGAGAGAGTTATGTTAGTATCTTAGTTGTATTAACATTGTTAGTATTTTATGCTTTCTGGTGGGTTGACTCTTATGTACAGATGTCTGTCTTTAACTATGGCAATGACACCTGCATCAAAGATTTGTCTTATATAATGTATCTACATAGGCTCTCTCTTGGCTAATATTTGCATGATATATATTTTTTCATTCATTTTTATCAGTCTATCAGCTTTCATATTTTAAGTGTGTTTATTGTGAATAGAATATGTTAAGCCATTTTTAAAAATCTGTCTTACCATCTCTTCATTTTTCATCATATTCCATCAAAGTGTGATTACCGGTATAGCTGGATTTAATCTGCCATCTTGTTTATTTTTCATTTTTGTTCCATCTATTTTGTTCCACTTTTTCTCTTCTCTGCCTTTTTGTTGTATTAAACAATATTTTAAAAGTTATTGTATTTTATCTCTTCCAACATTTTAGTTATACCTTTGTATTAATCTTTTACTGGTTATATTTCCCATTATGAGTCATCATTGGACTTATATCAGACTTTGTCATATTGGTAATTTTACCATTTTATGGAAAACTCACAAATTATTTGACAGTTTAACTACATTTACCAATATCCTGCCCTCATGCTATTACCAACATGTATTTCACTTCTACATTTGTTATAAACCCTAGAAGACATTGATTGTTACTGATTTAAACAGATCATCCTTTTGCGTTCATCTACATGTTTATATTTCCAATATTTTTTATTCCTTTCTGCAGTTTTATGCCTCCACCTGATATCAGTAAAAAATCTATTTTACTATTTCGTTTTTTAAGAATGTTTCTTATTTATTTTATTTATTTCTGAGGGAGAGAGAGAGAGAGAAAGAGAGAGAAAGACAGCATGAGCAGGGGAGAGTCAGAGAAAGAGGGAGACACAGAATCTGAAACAGGCTCCAGGCTCTGAGCTAGCTGTCAGCACAGAGCCTGACGCGGGGCTCGAACCCAAGAACCGTGTGATCAGGACCTGAGCCAAAGTTGGATGCTTAACCGACTGAGCCACCCAGGTGCTCCTATTTTACTATATCTTGTACTGTAGGTGTGCTGACAATTATTTCAGCTTTTGTGGTTTATAAGCATCTTTACTTCACTTTCATTTTAAATGATATTTTTGCTGAGTTTAAAAATTGTAATCTGGTGGGATTATTTTCTTTCAGTGAGTTAAGAGATCGTTCACTTGTCTTCTGCTTCTGTTTCTTTTGAAAAGTAACCTGTCAGCTTTATTTCTGTTACTATAATGTAACAGGTCTTCTTCTCTGGCTGCTTTTATGAGAATTTCTTATTTTTGTTTTCAGCAGCTCTGCTATAATGTGTCTAATGTGTGGTTTTCTTTATTTATCCCACTTAGAGTTTCTTGAAGGTCTTGAATCTCTGTATTTATATGTTTTGCTGGTTTAAGGAAATTCCTGAATATCGTTTCAAAGACTGTTTCTGCCTCATTTGCCCTCTCCCTCTCTCTTCCATCTGGGTCCTCAATTCCTTAAAATAAACCACTTGAGCCCACTTTCATTTATTTTTTAAAATATTTTGTTGTTACTGCATAGAAATGCAGCTGATTTTTGTATGTTGATTTTGTATCTTACAACCTTACTGAATTTATTAATTAGTTCTAACAGTTTTTGGGTTGAGTCTTTAGAATTTTCTATATATAAGATCATAATATTTGCAAATAAAGACAAATTTACTTCTGCCTTTTCAACTTGGAATGGTTTTAATTTTTTTTAAGTTTTTAAAATGTATTTATTTGGGGGCACCTGGGTGGCTCAGTCAGTTAAGCTTCCGACCTCAGTTCAGGTGATGATTTCACATTTGGTGGGTTTGAGCCCCACATAGGGCTCTTTGCTGATAGCTCAGAGCCTGGAGCCTACTTCAGATTCGGTGTCTCTCTCTACCCCTCCCCTGCCCATGCTCACTCTCTCTTTCTCTCTTTCAAAAATAAAATAAACACTAAAAAAAATAAAATAAAATAAAATGTATTTATTTTGAGAGAGATAGAACACAAACAGGTGCGGGGCAGAGAGAGAAAGAGAGAGGGGACAATCCCAAGTAGGCTCCGTGCAGTTAGTGTGCAAAGCCTGACACAAGTTTCAAACTCACAAAATTGGAAGATCATGACCTGATCCTAAATCAAGAGTCAGATGCTTAACCAACAGAGCCACCCAGGTGTCCCCAGTTTTTTGTTTGTTTGTTTGTTTTGTTTTTATCTTCCCTGGTTGCTCTAGCTAAGACTTCCAGTACTTTGTTGAATAGGAGAGCGAAGAGTGGGCACCTTGTCTTATGCCTGATCTTAGAGGAAAAGCTTTCAAGCTCTGGCCATTATATATGATGTTAGCTGTGGCTTGTCATTGATCATCTCTATTATGCTCAGGTATGCTCCTTATATACCCAAGTTTTTGAAATTGAAATTTTGGAATTGAAATTTATGAAAGGATGCTGCATTTTGTCAAATGCTTTTACTGCATTTATTGGAATGGTCATATGATTTTTATCTTTCATTCTATTAATGTGGTAAATCACATTTATTGGTTTGTGTATGTTAAACTATTCTTCACCCCAAGGATAAAAACCATTGGCCATGATCCTCTTAACATGCTGTTGAATTCAATTTGCTAAAAATTTTTTTCCCAAAGAAATCATACAAATGGCCAGCAGGTACATGAAAAGACACTCAACATTACTA